CTTTGGGCCAGCACAGAGCATGCCTGGGAGTTGTATGCTGGAAAGGGAGAGGGGAGACAGAGCTTCAGCTGCCATCCCATAATGTACAGGCAGTTCCTGCCCTCATCTTCTCTCAGAGACCTATCATTACACACATGGAAAAAAAAAATCAGTATTAACAGGTGGTCCTGATGATTTCAAAGGTCTTTTCCAGGCTCAATGGATATATGATAAAAAATGTTCCGGTCTGATTGAGGAGCTGTGGCAATGCCCGAGGCCAGGGGGGACAGGGAGCACCCTGGCACAGTGGAAGGTGTCCCTGAGGTCCCTTCCTGTGGCATCCACATTCTCTGAAAAAAATCCCTTTGCCCAGGATTTTTCTCCTGGGAAGCTGAGAAGCCTCAGAGAAAAAGGAAAACAATTCTTATCTCATTTGCTTCTCCTGTGTTTTGCTGCTGTGGAATGTGTTTGGAGATTGTTTACCCACAGGTGATTGTTTCGTTGGTTTCTGCTGTGAATTATTTTGATTTATTGGCCAATCAGGGCCGAGCTGTGTCGGGACTCTGGAAAGAGTCACGAGTTTTCATTATTATCTTTTTTAGCATTCAGTAAGTGTCCTTTCTGTATTCTTTAGTATAGTGTAGTAATCTTTAACATAATATAGTATCATAAAGTAATAAATTAGCCTTCTGAGGACATGGAGTCAAATTCATCATTTCCTGCCTTCTTCAGGAAACTCCCTGCAAATACAACACGTTCCCAGCCAAACCGTTCCATGATTCTCTGACTCACATGTCAATATTTTTACAGTAAAAAAATGATCCTTGTTTTCAAGGCAAATGACTGTGGCTTTCAGCAATAAATGCAAACAAATTCCTTGCTGACCATCCCAAGCCATCAGTTCTGGGGAAGAGGTGTCTGGGTGTTCCAAACACATTTGAAAATCTATCCATCAAAGCAGAAAAGGAGGCAGTGGCCAGGTATCCTCAAAAAGGAAACCCAGGACCAGATGAGTTTCTTTTCTTGAGTGTGCACATTATTAAACTCCAACAATCCCAAACCAAGTACAATACCCCAAAGTCTCAACTCCCTGTGAATTCAATGGGAAAGTTTGAACTGAAATTGTTCAGGGTTGAGCTGAGTGGGCCCAATTTCCCTTCCAGCCTAATGTGACTCCATTAAAGTGAGAAGAGTAATTCCCTGGTGGACAAGGAGCTTTCTGTATCTGAAGCCTGCCTGCCCTCAGGCAGCATTGGCTGAGGAGCATTGTCAGAGGGTGATAAAATAAGGGATGGCATCATCTTGTCTTGTACTGGAGCTTTCCTGGCTTGCTCCTGGTTCAGAGAGCAAAGATCCGCATTTCCAGCAGATGGAAATGGCTTAAAAGACTAAATATTTCAAAGTGGGCTTGTGCAGGTAGAGGCATCATCTTTTTCCTGAATTCTCTGGGGAAGGAGCCACCTCTCACCTGAGCTATTACCTGAGCTTAATGAAAGGATGAAGTGGAAGGGAAAAAAGGAGGAATGTGCCTGTAAATTTTTAAGTATTCTTTTCTTCTTTCAGTGAAGTGCATTACAGGCCCGGAGCAGAGTCACAGAGCAGCAGTAAAATGACAAAGAAGCCATCTTCTCTCCTTCCTCAGTTTCAGCTGAGCAAGCACCTATTAATTCCATGCAGAGGATTTTTGGGATGGGGGAAAGATGCAAATTGGTCCAGGGCTGGCAAAGAGCTGCCAGCTGATGGGGTTTGGAACAATGGCAGGGTGACATCTCTTCTGTCTCCACATTTCAGCTCCAAGCACAACCCTATTGCACTTTATTAACCCAGGATTAATCCACATTCTCCTGAACTTCATTGGAAACCTTCTTCCCTAATTCCTGCAACTAACCCAGCCCTCCACAAAATTATTCAAACAATCTGTTGCACCTCAAAAAAATCAAACAAATGCTGTTGCACCTCAAAAAAATCACAAAAAACTCCCAATGAGGTAGAGGCAGGTTGGTGGTACTTGGAAATAAATAGTTGGGGAAAACCTCTCTTGGAATAAAAATATGCTAAGCAGAAAAGCCAGTTTCCAGCAGCATGGGACAAAAGAGGCTTAGCAGACCAAGCATTACACTCCAAGCCCTGGAAGAGCTGGTCAAATAATGAAAAAATTTATGCAAGTCTAAAGTCATTTGGTGCTAGATGGAGGAGGATTAAGCCCTGCTGAATAAGTTATGCTCTGCAGAATGGATTTCAGCCTGGCCACACTGCCTGACAAATAACGGGCGGATTAATTGGCTAAAGTTTGCACATTGTATTGTTCCCCAGTTTGTCAAACACCCCTGAAGTACACACAGAAAATCTTTTTTGTTGATGTTGTTGAAACAAAGTTTGCTGAAAATTCCTCCCCCCACACTCAGGAACCTTTGTCTTTACAAATTAACACAATAAAACTAATCTGCATTGGGGCCTAAAATGGATTTATTAAACTGTATTAAATCTCCAGAAAGACTATTTGTTCAGTGCACTTTAATATCCTTCAGAAATGGAAGGCGACAAGTTGACCTAAGGCTACTCTGAATCTGGATGAGAATTAAAAATGTGCTTCAATTAAAAGTTCCAAATTAAAGATTTCTGCTTTTCCACATTTTTTTTAAAGTCCAGGGAAGTTTGTCTGCAATGTCTTAGCCATGAAGCTCAGGGGAGCTGCTCTTAAATTCCTTCTGTGTTTGAGAACATCAGCTTTAAGACTAAATTTGTTCTTCACTATCAGGGGACAGCCCATTTCCTTGGAAGTTGCTCAGGATTTGTTGCAAAAACGTGCCATCAAATTTTAGATACAATCTTCTGCTGCCTCTAGAAACTGATGTTGTTACATAGATGTGAAGTAATGAACGAAAAATCATTTATATTTCTACACATCAAGTTGAGAAGCCAAGTGATATGTTTCCTTTCATAAAGATCCACAAGTAAAATCTTTGTTTCAGGCCACACCTATATTTATTTTGTTTATTTAAAATACACCTTCATGCCTGTAATGAAAAAAAAATTGCTCCCTGACGCTCTCCCAGATTTCCTAAGCTGGTTCTAACAAACCACTTTAGGCCCCAGCCTAGGGTCTAGAAAAAGAGAGTCAATAAAATTTCCTTTTTAACACCCTTGAGTGTTTTGGGAACAATCTGCTTTTTCATCTGCCTCTGGATCCAGAGAAGCAGAGACATCCCTTGTCCCTGCCTCTGCACTTGAATCCCATCAGGAACAAGCAACCAGAGTCTTTCTGAGAACATTCACCATTTTCCCACACTCTGACCAGATTTTGTCACTGTCAGCATGTTCAGACTACCCATAAGTGAATTTCCATAGCAGAGGCCTGAGGAGGAAACAATTTGCGTGTGGGAAAAAAGCAAACTCTGAGCATAGGAAATGGGAAAAAAACAAGAAGGATTGATCCTCTCATCACATGGAGCTGCCATAAGGAGCTGTCAAGATTTTTATATAACTTTCCTTGAAAAGCTTGTATTTAAATGAGCAAGAAGGCAAAAGCAGAGAGAACATAAGGCAAATTCCCTTAATTTTAAAGAAGGGGCCACAGCTGAGATCCTCATCTAACCCTGATCTCTTCCACTTACCCCCCCCCCCCCCCCCCCACCCCCCTTATCTCCTGTCCCAGCCTTTTTTAGCTAGGGAGACACAGCTGCTGGGATGCTTCATTGTGGGCAGAATAAATAAAAAACTTCTTAAAAACCAGCACTAGGTTAATAAAAACCCTTTCTTGTCAAAGAATTATTTTTAATCTTCATCTGTTACCTTATTATTCCATCTATCAGCCAAACCAGTTCTTGAACTGCCACTTGATAAAGCAGAATTTCAGCCTTTTCTGATGCTCCCAAACCAGAGATTTCCTACACATTTTAAAAGGACTGTTCACTGCCTGACAGTGAGCCCTCATTGGAAGGTAATTTAGTCAATAGTCAGGTCTCCAGCAGCCTCTATAGCAAGTTACAGTTGGCATTTAATAGAAATGCAAAGCAGAAATAGCTTTAACACCAGTTGGTATTTTAAACCACATAATAAATTCACTGCTACTCTGTTCTATATCAATTAATAGCATTAAACTTCTTTAATGTATTAACAAAGATGTCTTTCAGATATTAAAATTCACTTCAATTAAAATAGCAATGAGGCTTTAAACATCCAGTATTTTAAAATTCACCTGATCTTTTCAGTCATTTCAAAAGGCCCTTTAACTAACACATAACTGCCTCATAAAATTTAAATTTGAGGTGAAATTAAGCCAGGCACTTAACGAATATTGCTGCAGCATGTTTGACTCCAGGTGAGCACAGAACACAACAGGCAGAACCAGCAGCAGCCCCAGCCCAGCTGAACTAACCCAAGAGCCACTTCGGGAGCTCGATTATTTTTCTGACACGAGCTGCACTTGAAGCAGCTCCCTGCACAAATGGAAATCGAGACAGCCACTCAATATTTAACCTCACAAGTGGCTCTGCTCATCTGTGCGCTCACCCAGCAGTTGCTTGGGATTTTAACAGGCAGGAAAAGCAAGAGGAACACAGAGCCTCTCTTAGCTGGCACTTGTTGACCTGTGAATAGTAAAGAAAGGCAAGAATAATGGGCCAGGCTTATCCTGCCTCGAGCTCTCAGCACCGAGTCACCCCAGCTGATCGTGGCCCACTCAGAGTTGCTGGTTTTTCCCTCTGACTTTCACACTCTTGTCTGTTTGACTAAGACCAAGCCAAAATGTTTACAGAGACACCAGCAGTTCTTTTGCTCCAAGAGCTTCGCTTTCATCACATCAAAGGAGATATATTTATCACAGACTTTTTGCCTTTTCTATATGGGATTCTTCACACAAGGATTTCACACACCTGAAGTGCATGTAGAAAAGCTTTCTGTGCTCCAGGATTAAGGATTTTACTGGAAAATTCAATACCATTTTCACTTCCCTGACTTGTTAGTGAGGATCCCAAGCCCAACCTCCTCATCCATCTCAACTGTGACGCACCTGCCCTCACCTGTGTACCTTTGCTGCAGAAGCTGCTGAGGCCCAGAAATATTTGCCTGTGTTGAGAGAAGGTTTCAGCCTCTCTGCTGCCAACATCACACTGCTCAGTGGTGTTGTAATGCAGAAAGTCAGAGGAAAGGCTGATTAGAATAAATGATAAGCAGCTAGAACTTCCTTCCCCTCCTTTTGTTATAACATCCTGAAGCCTTGATGTGCCACTGAGCTGCAGAGCTACCACCTCCTGGCTTCCCTGAAGCAAACCAGAGCCACACAGCAGCTCTTGTATAAAACCAGTGGGGATTAAGTGATTTCATGGGGTCAGTCTGTCAAATTGGCCTCTGCAGCTGTTCCTAATGCTGCATCTTGCTGTGCCTGCACTCACACCCATAGCTAAAAGGCCACTGAATTTCTCTCTAGCCTCTGCTTTATGTTAAATTCAAAGGCTGAGAAGGCTAAATCCCAAAATCTGCAATGATTTACTGTGCTTTTGAACACTTGCATTTTGCTTTACCTCACTGCCTCCAGGTGGGCTCCATGGCTGAGCCTTGTCACTTCACGAAGAGGGTGTGTGTGAGAAACAACTGCTCACTTTAAAAAATTTTATAACTTTAACAAAACTACAACAAAGGACTAATAATGGAAAAATTACAGCACTGGAAGCCCCCTGTGACTACCAGCCACATGGCCCATCTACAAAATGGATGCTCTGCTTTTTATATCCTTAGCCCCTCTTAAAATTTTGTTAGTCAAACTCTCTGCCATCCGTTGGCGGAGATTACCTTTTACATCTTGATTGGAGGTCAGGTGTTGTCATCCTGTGCCTCCTGGTAACAAATATTCCCAGTTATTCCAAACTAAAGCTGGCACAAACTGAATTCCGAGCCTGCTTTCAATAATTTTGTAGTTCATTGCTTTATTTAATTTTTTAGAATTAAATCAGAACATTTTCTGTCATGGCATTCCAGACATATTAGACTTGTGAAACTTAGCAGCTTAATTAATTTATTAATTTCTATTTATATTATATATATATATATACACATAATAAATTATATATATATTATAATTTAAATTTATTATTATAATTATTAATAACGCCATTATTGTCCTTTCAGTGGTTCTGCATCACCATGTGAACCTTTATGAATCTTTAGCAGTAAAAACAGAGTTTTGACAAACTTGCCCTGCAAGTCATGAAGACATCTCTGACTGAGGCAGCAGCTCCTGCTCCCACAGGGCCACTGCACCTGTGTAAAAAGCATTTCTATTCCAATTTATTTAATTATTAAGCAGAAACTTGCTGTTCAGTTTCCAACACCTCCCAAACACCAGCTTTTGAGTGCAGGCAGAATCTCTACCATCATTTCCAGCTCACAGAACACCTTTTTCCTTCCCTCCTTTCTCCATGTCCTTTTCCAAAGTGACCTCTAGCAGAGAAAATATCACCCCTACTTGTGAATTATAGCCCCAAGTGCTCATGACAGAGCAATGACATTTTGCCATCAGCCAGCATATGCATTTTGCTGCTTACCAGCAGCAGAAGAGAGGGGTGGTGATATATAAAAATTCTAATTCTATTCATACTGACATTTGCTGTGGAATTCCAGCAATGGAGAAAACTCCTCATTTTCAAGCTTTGCTCACAGGCAAACATCCCCAAAACTGGGGTAGTAGTTTTTCAAACCCTCCAAGGATTTGCAAAACCAACTTCACCCATGACAACGCTGGAATGTGTTCATTATGAAAATTAAATATTTAAGAAGCTGCACAATAATAGGGCTTAGAAGGCAAAGTGATAATTTCCTACTAAAGCTTATTCTGTAGGAATTTTGATGGGACAAGACAGGTGTTTATTATCTTTTTTGTTTCAACCAAAACAAAAGAAATTTCTTACAGGACACCCATTCAAGGAGGCATTGAGAATTTCTATCTAAATAAGACTTTTGGGAGCTTTTTAGTGCAATTCCCCATCAAATCATGGCAGGCAGCAGCAGCGTTTTTAACCCCCCAAAATGAAGATGTTGAAGCTTCTACCTGCCTCTTGGCACAGATTTATATGGAGATGGATTATGTGGGGGTTTGATATCTAATTGTTTTGTAATTCAAAATGATCTGTTGTCATGGCAATCCCAGTGTGGAAGATGTATTATTTAGGGAAGTGTCTTCTGAAAGGAGAAGTCAACCCAGACGCTCGTTGACAGCTTCAATGAGAGCCCGTGAGCCAACCTGTCCTTCCAAATGTCTGCACACCTGAGGCATCTCAAACCCAGAGATCTGAAAAGAGGGAGGTCAGGGGATAGACCAGAACCAGGAGCCACTTTTGGATTCTCTGTGAAAACAGATGTAATCATTTTCCAGCAGGGAAGTGTTCTGCAAAAAATACAATTTTGTTAATGTTCTTGTATTTGTGTGTGGGTTTATTTTTTTTGTTTAAATTAATGACTTACGGAGTTACACAAAATTCCTTATCAGTTACCACATTTTAATCCTCAGGAGGATGAATTCCCCTCTCAGTTTATGAACAGTAGCCTGGAAATGCCCAGTTTATTCTCTGAGTCACAGATTACCTTCACAACCAACATTTGAAATAACACATAACCAGTTTTTATGTCCTATGGAATCATTTGCCCGGTGGCTGCAATCATATGAAGAGATTGAGTAATTTGCTTTTGACAGTTAAATAAATAGTACCTAGACATGATAACATCTCTGAATGGTTTAGGGTGGGAGGGACATTAAAGATCACCCACTGCCACCCCCTACTCCGGGCAGGGACACCTTCCAGCCTCTGGGAGCTTCCCAGGGTGCTCCAAGCCTCCTCCAACCTGGCCTTAGACATTTCCAGGGATCCAGGGGCAGACACAGATACTCTGGGAATTCCATTCCAGCCCCTCACCGACCTCACAGGAAGAATTCCTTCCCAATATCCCATCTAACCCTGTCCTCTGGCAGTTTGAAGCCATTCCCCTGTCACTCCATGCCCTTGTAAATACATATTCTCATGAAATTCAGTGGGATTCATGTTCTGAACCTGGTGCTTGTCCCTTTGCTGCAGCCCTTGTCCCTTACCTGCCCCCTTGGCTGATCCCAGCAGATTTACCAGGAAATTTGGCAAGGACAGCCAGAATGGAACAAAATCCCTGCCTGCAGAGTGTGGCAGCTGGAGGGAGGTATAAAAACACTTGTACACATTTGCACTGACATTTCTATGCACAAATGCTCGTTCCAAGTTAATTAAAAATAACACAGAAAAATAGTTAAGAGACCTTACCCTGGGATGTGGGAGCCATTCAGAGCTGATAGCCGTTGTTCTTCTTCCAAATGAAGTGACTGTGCAAGTCATTGAAGAAAGTTTCCATAGTTCAGCAGAGATGGTGCCACGCTCAACTTCCACTCATTCCCATGGATTTAGCACCATGCTTTTCATGCTGGAGGAGAAAAGGGAAATTCATGGACAGCAACTCCTCTCTGGGATTCCAGGAGTCACACAATGCAGTGGTTTTCTTCTGCATTCTGCTGTCCAGAATAATTAAGAAATTCAGGACATGCCTGGAGCCCTACCACCATATTTTTGCAGGGTCACAAGTGGCATTTCTTATACTAAACAGTTCCAAGGCATGGGGGAGGGTCAATGCCTCAGCAGCCAAATTATTTGCAGACCTTCACAGATTTATTTAAACATTTAAAATGAATCTAACATTTACCTTGATCTAAATAGATCACAATAAGCGAGTGAACTCTGTGATATTATTACTTGAATGTTTTTCATTTCCTTTCACCTTTAAATTCTCTTCTGTACTCTATCTACCTGTAGTAATTTTAATAATTTTTAGTTGAAGCCCTCTAGATTTCCTCTACAGCATTCCTGCACAGCTCCCAACTCCCATTGCACCCCATATATCAACCCACTCTTTCAACTCCTGCACTTCCAAACATTTAAAACACCTTAATGGCTTTTCTCACTCAACCATAAAAATTATTTATAAATTCATTTTAAGACATTCATACAACGAGAAACTCATAACACGTCATGAACTACAAACTATGTTTACTGGAGAATAAAAAATTATTTGGGTCTATGTATATATAATGAAGGAAAAAGCCAACTGCTTCTCCAAGTGGACTCCTACTATAAGCAATCACCAAGTGCAAGGTGAGAGGATAATGAATTATTTGCTCCAAAGTACTTTTTTAAAATAAACACCCAACAGGAAAAAGCAGTCCCTTCCAAGCCTTAATTTAAGTACATTTGGTGTAATTTCAAGGAGTAATCTCACTATTTTTCCAGGATTTTTCACAACAAAGCAGCGGCAGCATCTCCTTCCCTGTAAGGTTAAAACCAAATGTAGGGGCTGTTAATCTGAGTTATTTCTGCATCTCAGCAAGTGAAATCACCCCAAGAGCTCAGTGATACTTCAGGGGAAATGCTATTCATCAAAATTCATACATTATTTGGGCTCCAGGAGGAGAGGTTCCTCCCTAAAAAACTGATGGAAATATGAAGAGAGGCGGTCACTTTGGAGTCTTTCAGCAACTGGAGGTGTAACCACACTTAGTGCATCAAACTCAAGACGTGAAACCGAGAAGTTAATTAAATATATCTTAATTAAAACTAAAGACAAACTCTTTGAAACAGCCTGCAATTCTGATCTGAAGATCCTGTGCCACACTTGCCTGTAGGATAATATGAAGGTGGACTAAAAATGAAACTGCAAATCAAAGAAGGTGTTTCTTCAGTTCTCTCTGGTTCCAGCCACTCCTAAAACCCAGGCTGCCCTTCTCAGGAGGTCTGGTGTGTGCCTCATCCCAGATGATCAGACTCTCACAAAATTCCAGTTTTTAGCTGAAAACACTTGGCTGGGCTTTCATGCTCACTTGGTCACCTTCAGGGCATCTCCTCAGCCCATTTGGGCATTTCCCATGTCTGTGTGTAGGACACAGTGCCCTGTACCACACATTTTTTTTCCTTCCAGCACAGACAGAGTGAGAGCTCATCATTATCCCCATTAAAGCAGGACTGCTCAGAGAGAGGGACCTGTGTTTTTGAGCACTGATGGACTGGGGTTCTCCTCTCTGTGGCAAATAG